TATATATATATATATATATATATATATATATATATATTCAAACCTTTCAACCAATCGATTCGATCCGATCTCGAAAAGCTGCTTTTGCTAAAACTCAAGCACGAGAACATCGAATCATGAACGAAGAAAAGCATGACAAAAAAACCTATTAGTTAGTGATTGTGAGGCACCTTTGATATGATTTGAGGATACAAATTCTTGTTGCACCCAAAAAATGGGTTTTGGTTAGATTCATTCCATTTTGCATCATATCTAAGGAGTTTCTCAGTTCAGACCGAAGAAGCAATGTTGCTCGATCATTATCAAATTGTTTGTTCTTGCATATCCCTACTAGTTTTCTAAATTAATCTCCTGGGAATATGTGAGTGAAATGAATTTTGGGGATGAAAGTTTCTTTTTTTAGACAAAAAATATTCCTTTTTTTTCTTCATCCTTTGTATTAGAAGATGTTGTGCACTTGTGCTCATACCTTTGCTAAACAACTCCTCTTCAATCTCGATCTGCTGCCCTCGTACAATCAGCACAAGGTATTCATAGCTGCTAGCATCGACCGATTCACTAGAATGGATGGAGCAACTAGAGTTCCTACTATCCATAGAAGCTGATGTTCGTTGTTGGCTACACTCGACTTGAGCCACCAGGGTTGCCCATTTTTTAGTGGATCATGCCTCCATTTGGTATTTAAGCCTTTAGTTTCTCTGCAAGAAGTCTAACTCCTCTGTTTCTATTTTTCTTTTCATTTTATTTTGGGAACTTATATTAAATTGTAATGTGGCTCATAATCGAGATTTTTTTTTTTAATTTTATCCCCTTATTCAATCAATTTACAATCTCAACGAGATGGAAGGACTTCTATTGGAATCTACATACAGTAGTAGAGAAAATGAAATATATCTTTAGTTCATATATAACTATTCAATATCTAATATCACATATACATGTCTCCTAATGATGCTCCAGAGTCTTTCTGATTACTCGTTCAAGAATTACGATATTTAACTTTGAAACTAAACCATTTCCTTGTATCTAAGAAAAACTTCCAAATTAATAAAGGTCTCCATTGCTATTTGATCAAGTGTTTTAGTCAAATTGATCTATTAAGTGAAGGTATTGTATGATATCATTCCAGTCACTAGCTTTGCCTTCGGTATCCCCTCCTTGTAGTTAAGGTAATGACTTTAGGCATGGCCAGCTCCCGTAGGGTGATTGGTGGTGTGTACAAGGCCAGAGAATGAGGGTGCTAATTTAGTAGCAATGGGTGATAAAGTGGGTTTATTACCTATTCCATTAGGAACCGTGGATTAGTAAGTACGTAACTCAAGAAATTCCCTCACACGTCTAATTTTTAAAGAATCAAGATAACCATACATTTATTATAATCGTGGAATGATGATTGAAATTGTCCAAATATATGTCACACTGCGTGATCCCGCAAGTCCAATTTTATGAACCTGGGTATTGTTTTTATACACGATTCGGTGTCTAGAAATTTGAAGTAAAACACATTTTCATTAGGATTTGTTACAATTAGATATTTTTTGTCGGTAAACTAATAATGGTAAAAAATTAAGGAACACTTTGGCTAATTTTAAAAGGTAGGACAACAGCAATATGGACAATAGATTTGAAGAAAATGTTACAATTTTCTTCTCTTAAGAAGTTAAAATATTGTCAATTACATTGTATCATATTGTTTATTAGTGCCGATCAAACACGATGTAGGATGTTCAGACACAAAGAATGCATAATTATAAGATGGAAACATGTCTTTATACGTCGAGAGATGCCTCAAATTATTTAAATTTAGCTTCATATTTTATATAGATCTTATAACACTCTCAAAACATAAAATTTGACATTTGAACTTTAAAATGTCTTAACTCCTACTCATTTAATACTTTAAGTTGATCTTATTTATGTATATTGGTTTTGAGAAAATTAATAAATGAGCTCATAGAGAAGTGAATGCATC